AACTGAGGTCTGTTTGTGAGGTAGTTAATGGTCCATGCAGACAGGTGTTGGTCCACACCTGCCCCCTCCGACTTCCCCCTCAGCAGTGACGGTTGGATTGTGTAGAAAGCACTGGAGGAGTCAAAGAACATGACCCTCACAATACTTCCGGGGGACTCCAGGTGAGATAGGGTTCGATGCAGCATGTAGATAATAGCGTTGTCTACCCCGATGCCAGGTCGATACGCAAACTGCAGCGGGTCGAGTGCCGAGCTCACCTGGGCATGGAGGTGGCCGAGGACAATCCTCTCCATGGTCTTCATCAGGTGGGAGGTCAGGGCAACGGGTCTGTAATGGTTTGGCTCCTTAGGATGAGGTATTTTGGGAACCGGGACAACACAGGATGTCTTCCATAGGACTCTCTCCAGGCTAAGACTCAGGTTAAACATGTACAGGACCACCTCACTGAGCTGGTCTGCACACTGCCTGTGGCCTTCCTGGCCTTAATCCTCCTCAACTCCTTCATGACCTGGTCTGCTGTGAGGCAGAGGGGGCTGGTGGATACAGCAGTACTTTTATTCTGAGTTCTGGCAGCAGCAGTTAGTGTTGAGAAAAGTACTCTTTGCTCAAGTAAAAGTATAATAGAGAATGTGAAGTAGCCACGCTGTGTTGAATTCTGGGTAAGTGCACTATTTTGGTGGGCTCACTCATTATCCATCATAAAGATATACATTACATACATCTAGTGATGGAAAGATGGAGACTTGTTGAAGCATCAAAGCTCGTAACAAAATGGCTAAAGAATGCTCTTTATCAGGACAAACCAAACTGATCCCGTTTTCATTCTATGACAGACTTATGCCAGGTGAGAAACAGGACAGGTGAGGCTGTGGACACTGTTAGTTACAGGCTGGTTTACAGCCTGTTCCAGGGTAGTGTCACTTTTCCTCCCACCTCACTCTCTGTTCTTCGCCTCATGGGTCCCTCTTGGACACAGGGAGTACTGGACACCTGGACATATTAGAGGATTGCAGGGATGTGTCAGGCTGCAAAGATTCTTTCCCAGGTGCACTGGAAAAGAGGACATGGTGTGACTGCGATGACAAAGATGAGTTTAATAAACTGTTATATTTCTACAGACAGAAGAGAAATGAAAGGAAAACCCAACATAAAGTGTGTCAGTAAGGTGCTGGGCCACCATGTGCCACCAGAACAGCTTCACCTTGGCAGTGATTCCCCCAGTCTCTGAACTCTACCAGAGGGATGAACACCGTTCTTCCAAAAGATATACACCTTGTGCCCTATGGAATGGATGGGGGTGCCGCCATCCTGGAGGAGACCACTCCCATCAGAACTCATACTGGGTATTGACCTGTAGTGACTCTTCTCTCTGAGGGGACAAGCACATCCAAACCATGGCCAACACAGTGCAACAGAGCGACTGCATCCCCTCACAGTAGGGTCAAGCTTCCAGGTTTCTCCTGTCATTTGTCACCTAGCATCTGTAGCTATCCTATAAATATGTATAGTGAATATAGTTTTCTCCTGCATTATAATTCAGTTTCTTTTTGTGCACATGGAATTACTCTCTCACTGACAAGACCTGATCCTGAGACGTATCAAGTGTTGTGCATGTTTAAATGTAAGATTAATTTAACTACTGAACTGCATGCCGGTCAAAGAGCTGCATGTAACCACGTGCTCGTGTAAAAAGTGAAATACTATAGGCGACTCTTACTGCTGTGAACGGTTTGCTGTCTGGATCCAACGTACCACCAGCAGTCCCAGCCTGAATGACGGTAAGAAGGTAAAGCCCGCCGCCTGGTGGTTTAAATCTGAACTGCACAGAAAAAAACAAAACAAAGCAGCAACATCTTCAGTCACTTGAGGAGAAAAGTAAAAATTCAGGAATTACCTTCACACCTGTAACGTATGTAGTCTTAAATCTGGTATTAAATGAAGTGATTTTGCTGCCTGAGATGTGCCTCAGTGGCTACGGTCAAGTCAAAAAACGTCCACGTCTCCAAGGTCACACTGAAGTGCGCGCATGTACCAACCCAAACACAAACCGTTTGGTATTCTTTTGGGTAGGTCAAGCACACATTAGATAGCTTATGGTTGTTTTTTGTTTCTTTATTTCACATATACACATAATAATAAATAACATACGAGAAGCTGTGTGTGGGTTATTTTTTAAAAATTACATGTAATATGTTGTGAGCTAAATCCCAATTATGAAGCCTTTTCCCCTTTAAAGCAGTTTTATTTATTTTAGAGACGACAGGCTGCATGTGTGTATTATACGTTCTGGGAGTATTAGTTGATTTTTATCTTTCATACTAAAGTGCCGTGCACGTGCCGATAATACGACTATCTTATTTTGAAAACCGGACGTTCCTTCTCCTGCCAAAACAAACCCACAGGCATTCTTGTGATAGAAAGTCATTTTCGGCTTTTCCCGTTTAGGGTTGGCCACAGTGAATCGTCACACTCACGTGTCGTCAGTGACGACTCGCGTGTTGACGTTTGGCACGTGGTTTACGCCCAATTCCCTTCCTGACGCAACCCTGACTCGAACCCGGGCCGCCTTAACCACAAGCCTTTGAGGGACGGCTTCTTGTGATAAATTATGTTATCTAGAGAAAATTTTGCTTTTTTGGAGATAAAGTAAATTAAGCAATTATCAGGCGAGCGTATTTCTCTTGAAATAACAAAACAATTCAAGCACCTGGCGTTCTCGGCTTCCGTAAACTGGACGTTAGCCAAGGGTTTAGCGTTAGCTTATCGGAAAACCGAGTTAGCTAAGTTAGCCTCTCAGTGGTTTCCAGAATTATTTTGTGGTTTGAATTTGTTTGTCTTCCTATTCAAGATAAATAAAATGATACTTTATTATTACATTTAATGACGTAGCTAGCCTAATTATGAGCATTTGCCGACAGGAGTTGAGCTAGACCCAGGGTTTCCAAGGTTTTCGGTTTGCTAACGGTTTGACTTCACCGGAAGACATTTATCAAAGGTGTGAGTATTTCCACCTGTGTTCAGCGAAACTATCAGAAACTGCTGCTAATGATGGATTTGACAACAATAATAGTAATACAATACTACAATCATCCAGCCATACAATACAGTTAAACTTGCCGAAGATAAAAACACAACGCTAAAAGCTTATTTCCACTGTGGTTATACAAACGGAGAATAGAAAAGCACTTTCGGCTTTTCCCGTTTAGGGGTCACCACAGTGAATCGTCACACTGACGACTTGCATGTTGACATTTGGCACGTGTTTTACGCCGGATGCCCTTCCTGACGCAACCCTGATTCAAACCCGGGCCCTTAACCTCTAACCTACCAGGGACGGATGTCCGTTATACAAACAGAGGCGTGCAACTAGTTTTCAATGTGTTGAGAAGAGCTGCTGTTCCTAATTGGCAGCGCAGTCAAAATGGCCTTGACATAAGGCACCTGCCAACAATTTTAGTGTTACACTATCGAGCAAGGCTGCTTTTTTAATGTACATCCAGAGTAACTGGGTGTAGTGGCTGCTGTAAGAGCCTGAGCCGCCTTCATTTCATATTCAGAACCAGTATTTATCAACCATCTCAGAGCAGGAACACACTCCTGTCCAAAGATTCTAAGAATAGCACATTTTGTCCTTACTTTTAGGAGTAGAAGTAAGGGCTTTTAACATATTCCAGTGACTTTTACAGAAGCTTTAACTCATTCTTCCACTAGTTAAAATAGGGCTTATTTTAAGATATCTACATTTATGTATGAGGAATTTACCCAATAACAGTAGATTATTAAGAACAAAGGCCAAACCCGTATCACTGACAAACTGCTCAAACCTGACATTTTCCACCATGAAAGGTGGTAACTGCATTAAAAACGTTACTTGAGTAAAAGTACAAAAGTATTAGCATCAAAAATATACGTAGTCTGGTGATTCTACTGTGTTTGGTTTGATTCATCTGATGTACATGTAGTGTACACAGTTTGTCTCTGACAAGTAGTGAAGTCCAAGTATGAAGTAGCAGGACATGGAAGTACAAATACTTCAGTTGGACTCGAGTAAATGTACATAGTTACTTTTTACCATGTGTTAAATTTAAATGTCCAACTGTTATGTCGTTGTCTCTGAGTCTCCCTGCAGGTCCAGTCCTTTCCCTGCACTTCCGGGTGTGTCCAGTTGGGGGCATCGATGGCTTCCTGTTGTTCCTGTTCAGTGCTTCCTCCTCAGGCACAGAAAAAGACGAGGCATCTGCTTCTCTGCCTTTGCTCTGTCATCCTCCACCTCCTCCCTCAGGAAGGGGAGCGCCACACCCTGTCAGCCAATCAGAGCTCGGCTCCACCTTCTCCATCACATCATCTCAGTTTCCAAGGTAACAGGGCACCCCGCTCTCCCTCTCACTCTCTCTCTTTCCATACTGAAAGGTGCCGCATCATCATCATCCCTCCTATCTGTTCATCCTGCCGTCCCACGCTGAGAGCTGGTGGCTAGTTTAGCGTTAGCCCTCTGCCTGCTAGCACCTTCTCCCTTTCTGTCTCTCTGCAGTGGGATTGCCACAGCATCACAGACACCTCCCTCACGCCCTTGCTCCTTCTATATCTTCCAATATCCAACAGAAAAGAGGAAGAGGAGAAGGGAACGAGATGGACTAAAGGAGAAGAAGTAGAGTGATGTGGTACGTACTGCTGACCCTGCTCTCTTCTGCTTTCTGTGTACTCCCCCTGTTATGTATATGCGAATGAGGCGAGTGTGTGTATGTGATAGGCCTAATCCTTCATGGAATGCTGATTTAATGAGCTGTGTGAGGCTGGCATTCCCAGAATGATGCTAGCAAAGAAAAGATAAAGAGAGAGAGAAGCAGAGGGAGGTGACTCCCAGTCTCTTTCTCTCTCTGAGCTTTTGTTATGGAGGCCTGCTCTGCAGAGCAGCTCGCCCTGCCTGCTGCATACAGAAAGAGGCCAACACCTCTTCTCTCTATGTTCCCAGTCTGCTGCCCTGCTTCATACTGGGCTCCCTTACTGGTTTACCAGACACACCAGGCTCTAATTGTTCCCTCATGTGAGTGGTGGTTTCTGATTTACTAGTGAGTATTTCTGACCTGATCTCAACTTTGTTGCATTTCAGAGTTCAGATTTTGAGGAACCGGGTGAAGGAAGTGTTAACATCAGGGTTTGGTTTAAACCAGCTAGTTAGCAGGACGTGTTTTCTGACCACATTTAAGGTGAAAGTGTTTATGGCTGTTGTGAAAGACCACAATTGAGGGCGGGGCAAAAAGTCTGCTGTTGTAAAGAGGAGTGGAATGCAGTCACCATTGAAATGGTTCAGGAGAGTCTCTCCTTGAAGGCATTCGAGGTGTTGCACCTGTTTTCTCCACAACAAGTGATGAGAGTACAGTAATGTGAAGAATGAAAAATGACAAAGGAGGCATCAAGAGAGACTGACCACAACAGACCAGCCCTTTTTCCCATCTATGCTTTTTTTTTTTTTGCAATGACATGCCAGAGTATCTGCTGTGGAAAAGGGTCTACTGCAGCATGAACTCGGTGTGATGGTGGCATTATTTGTTTCAGACAGCTACAGAAATTGTAATTCCTAGTTCCAAAAGGTGTGGAGGGAGGGGTGAGGGGAAGGACTCTGGTTTAAGCAAGCTGATTCCTGATATTTTCTGAGATCTGGGGCAAGAAACACAAGATGTTAGATGATCATGCAAAGGAGAAACAAACCAGCTGCTGATCCAGATTACCTGCATCATTTGGAAGTGAAACTGAAAGTGCCATGTTGGTAGTAATAGCGTTTCCTCAGGTGGTTGGTGTTCCTCACAAAGCCTCCTACACCCCCTGCTTGACGGTGACTGACTGAGCCATGTGTCTGGACCTTTCCCAACTTGTAAACACTCCCCAGTGCTGTGACATTCTTCCCTCAGTGACATCTTTCAGATGAATTTGACAGTTAACGATACACAATTGAATGTGTCAAAGCATTTCTGTGGAAGCTCAGGATTCAAGTTAAATGATGTTTGACCCATCATTTGGTCCCACAGAGGTGTGTCAGGGCTTCATAACAAGCAACACCAACCCTAACCTATCCTGAAAGGCACATCCACCATCACGCCATTACAGAGACACCATTACGTGGTAAAACGCAGGCTGTCCTTCTGACTGTCACTGGAGCTCAGTGGCAGCCCCATTTGCTGGCTGTGTACATCCTGACATGTCATCTCGTTTAGTGAGTTTCCATTTAGATTTCAGAGCCATAATACACGTCTTTTCCCACTAAAGGTTAATGTTGTATCTAACAAGGATGTAGTAGATAAGTTGGAGGATGTAGTAGATAAGTTTAATAGGTTCTTTGTGAATGTTGGTCCTGGTTTAGCAAGAAGCATTTGTACAGATGATACATCTGTCACTATAAATAATAATACAAACGAAAGGAACATGAGTTCAATGTTTTTGAAGCCCATAGTTGAAAAGGAAATTATAGAGATAGTGAATAAATGTGGTAACAAAACATCTAGTGATAGTGATGGTATCACCATGACAACTGTTAAATGGGTAATTGAGGGGATATGTAAACCATTAACCCATATTTTTAATATGTCGTTTCGACTTGGGCAGTTCCCCAATAATATGAAAATAGCAAAGGTTATTCCATTGTATAAATCTGGTGATAAGCACAACCTCACAAATTATAGACCGATTTCTCTGTTGTCACAATTTTCAAAAATTCTGGAAAAACT